GTCGGTAAGTGGCGACGCACAGCAAGACGGGCAGCAGCATCGCGCGTGGGCCACTGTGAGCGAGCAGTGCTGTCAGCATCAGCAGGCGGGGCAGGAGAGGCACCAGAGGTGAGATCAAACAGGGAGAATCCGTCTGCCCTATCGCACTGTAGGAAGAGCTTCAGGTCATCGACCCAGACCTCGAAGTCAACAGCACGACCCTCAGCATCAAAGGTAAGGACACTGGGGGTAGCCATGACAGCAGTGGTCTAGCAGGGAGTGCTCTCACCAGTCCGGGTGGTTAGGGCCGGGGCGCACCGGTAGGAACAGGGCTGCAGCTGCGGTGGCAATGGCGGCTCGACGGTGGCTCCGGCGGCTCGGCGGCTCGGCTGCAGGCGGCTCGGCGGCTTGGCTGTTCGGCGGCTCGGCGGCTCGGCTGTTCGGCGGCAAAGAGGCCGAGGAGGGGCCGAAAGGGGGGGGGGGGGGGGGGTGACGGGGCCGCCAGAGGGCGTCAACGAGGCCGCGAGAGGGCGGCGACGAGGCCGTAAGAGGGCGGCGACGGGGCCGCTAGACGGCGGCGACGCGGCCGCGAGAGGGCGGCGACGGGGCCGCTAGAGGGCGGCGACGCGGCCGCGAGAGGGCCGCGACGGGGCCGCTAGAGGGCGGCGACGCGGCCGCGAGAGGACGGCGACGGGGCCGCTAGAGGGCGGCGACGCGGCCGCGAGAGGGCGGCACTGGGGCCGCGAGAGGGCGGTGACGAGGCCGCGAGGAGCGGCTGCAGGTCCGCGACGGGCGGCGACGCGGCCGCTAAGGGCGGCGGCGGGGCCGTGAACGGCTGCGACGGGGCCGCGAGAGTGAGGCGACGGGGCCGCGAGAGGGCGGCGACGGGGCCGTGGAGGTGGGGCCGCAAGGGGCCGTTTAGGGCGACGCGACGGGCCGTTCAGGGCGGCGCGACAGGCCGCCAGGGGGCGGCGACGGGGTCGCGAGGGGCCGTGAGAGAGGGGGCCGCTAAGGGCGGCGCGACGGGTCGCTAAGGGGAGGGCGGCACACAGGGCGCGCCTCGGTCAGGGGCGACTCGATCTCAGGGCAGGAAAAAAAAATAATCAGTGGTGGGCCCTAGGAAAAGTTCCCACTAGGGAACCTGCTCTATACCATGTGAGAAATGAGGAATGAATTATCTAGCAAGCAGGCGGGCATAAGTAGGAAGACCTATATGTGTTGTACCCCATATTCTCTACCCCACTACAGGCTACACAGACTATAGCATATGAGTTTGACATCGTGTCCCACTTGTCAGCTCATGAAATCATCACGACAGCGGCCGGCGGGACAGTTGCAGCCGATACCACCCCTAGAGCGTGCTTGGCAGCAGGTGACAATGGACTTCGTCACGGGGTTACCAACCGAGGCGAGTGGGAACGACACGATCCTGGTCGTCGTCAATCGACTGACGAAAATGGCACATTTCGCAGCCTGCAAAAAATCAATCACAGCCGAAGAAACAGCACGCCTCTTCATCTCCACCGTCGTTCAACTGCATGGGATACCAGCCGCGATCATCAGCGACCGCGACACGAAATTCACCAGCAAAATCTGGCGGAACCTGTGGCAGCAGTTCGGCACGCGACTGCAGTTCAGTTCATCATACCACCCCGAAACCGACGGACAGACGGAACGGACAAATCAGACCATGGAACAACTCATCAGGGCCACGTGTGACGACCCGACCACGTGGGAACAGCAACTGCCACTAATCGAATTCGCGTACAACAACTCGCCATCCGCCACGACCCAACAGTCACCATTTTACCTAAACTACGGACAAGACCCGACAGTACCCATGACCCCGAACCCCGCCAACCTAGTACCACGAGCACAATAGTTCGCCGAAATATTACAAGCGGCACGGACCCGGGCAGCTGACGCAATAAAAAAATCGAACATCATCGCTAAACGCAACGTCGACCGCCACCGCAGACCTGTCACTTACCAGCCCGACGACTTAGTTTTACTTGACACTTAGAACCTCCGACTGCCTATCACTTCGAAACTCCGCCCCCGATACTGCGGGCCATTTCGCATAAGCCACATGCTTACACCCGTCACCGCCCACCACATGCTTGCACTCTGGTATGTCAGCCCCTCATTCCACGTCAGCCTACTTTGCCCTTACGTCCCGTCCACGAGCCAATTGCCACGCAATCGCCCAGCTAGCATGACAAGACCATCAACTAAACCAATCATCACCTGCGAGAAAATCCTGAGTCACAGAGTTCGCGACCCTCGAGGAGCCCGAAGGATCGAGATCTTACTCCGCTGGAAGGACCGTACATCCACCGAAGACAATTGGGTTCCCCTGGACAGAATCGAAAACCACCCCGTCCTCACCGAGTATCTACGCAGCCGAAATTTCACGGATGTACACGCACTTTCGTAAGGAGGACCTCCTTAGGGGGGGGGGGGGGGGGGGGGGTAGTGTAAGGAAAATTCCTTTTCCTTACTTCGCATCCCTGCTCAACGCGTACATCACTGTAGCACCACAGTCAGCACCGTTACCACTGGCAACCCTCGCATCGACAATCCGCCCGCCACCTTCGCACATCACACCCCGACCTCACGGCTCGGCGGGTAACCCGCGCCCTGGGCCTCCGCTTCGACACTTTTCCCAACCTCAGTCCTAGGCCCGTCGCACGACAACTTGTCAATTACCGTTACCACTGTAGTTTCGCCATATATTCTTCGCTCATGCCTCCGCTCATTGTACTCTTGCTTCGATAGTGCAATTCTCGTTCGGTCACTCAATTGCACTCGTAACACCTGCCTAGCTAGGGCTCTCCCTATATATTACAGGCTTTCACTTGAATCATCACTTCCTTCATATTTTAGCTGAGTCCTTTGTTACGTCCGCGCACTCTCTTGTAAATGTCATTATCGAGCGACATCCAATATCGAGGATCGAGACCTGGTCAATGTTCTTGTGCCAATTTATGATTTTTCCGCAACCAGTGTGAAGGCGCCGCGAATTAGGGCAGCACTGGCAGCATTTCGAATCTTGGCAGGGTATGCCGAAACAACTGCACTACGGTTGGCGTGGGAGAAAACACAGCAAGATCTTTGCTCTTGAAATTTGAATATTGGAGAAAACAGAAAATAGTGTTTGCTCACACCCTAGGGCAAAATTGCCTCACACCGACACTCGCTGACAAGGGGTTTGTAATTGCCTAACACCTACCCGGTGTGAGGGGTGTGACAAGAATTGTTTAGGGCGTGCTATATTTTTGAAAGTCACTGAAAGTCCGGACAGCTGTCCGGACGTGTGTGAACATTACGACGTCGCATTGTCGTCTTGCGACCGATGCGATGTCATAAGGAGGCAACACGAAGATTGCGACGTCGTTTAGAACCTGACGAACTCACTGTCGAGATTTGACGAGTTCCGTAACCACACAATCGTCCGGACGGCCAGTGTAACATGCCCTTAGGCACAGCCGAGTGACTGGCAGGCGGTCTGTCAGACCAGGTCTGAGGTTGGTAAACTAGGTCAGAGCAACAGCACAGGGTGGAATTGTGGAAAGGCAGAACAGGACAAAAGATGATTCCATTTGAATGCAAGGCTGCTAAGTGCAGACTTGTGCATCATTCTTCCGCCGGCCATTATCTCCGATACTCAGATTTTGCCTGAGCGCGTTCTCAGGTGTAATCAACCTGGACTTTCTCAACGTTGATTTTTCGTCGCTTTATAGTCACATTTCTCATGCCGGTCGAACTCAATTGAAAGGGACCAAAACAGAACCATCCAGTTTACCTCCCGACTTGGATATAAGTTCGGAAATTTAGGTAGTAAGCCCATATAAATCAATTGGTAGTGCTCGGTAGCGCAACCGACCGCTAAACAACGCTCCTAAAGCACTAGACGACGCTACCGAGAACTATCAGGGCATGGCAGAAATAAATATTCCACGAGGGTACCTGGACGCATTTTCGGGAAATGTCAATCCTAAACATTGTTTTGAGGGTTGATGCCTCCCGAGTCGCATTCTTTTCCGTTTGGGTTTTGGTTTTTTTCGCAAGTGCTGGAATTATTTTTGAGTGACTATATACAAAAGCGAGCCAGAGTAGCTTTACACTATATCGCGAAACCGTGTTTCTGCTGGTGATTATACCTGAGAGCGCTTACTATCATGATAACAGTTGGCACACTTGCGAGCGTGGAAGATCTCAATCTGCGCGTCGCCGGGTTTCGCTGAACTTTCTTCTGCCCGTCGACGAGCCATTTCCCGACAGCGTAAAGAAGCTAGACGTCAGTCCTACACCCTTATTCTGTGTGGGACCTACCGAACAGTACTTGGATAGGAAGCCTGCGACAATCGTTGTGCCTGCTGCGACTCATATGACCATAGGATTTTTGTACAGTACAGTACGAAACCCTTCAAGTATCTCGTGGAAAGTAAGCAGCAGCAAGGGAGGGAGGGAAACTCGGTCAATGTTGCTCTGCTGCCGCAGAAGAATCGGCCATTATCTCCGATACTCAAAATTTGCCGCCCAACTGTACCAAACTTTCTTTGTGCGACGTTGTCTAGGTCGTAAGCGGTCGCACACGGCCGGTCAACGGTCATTCATTGAGAATGTTTGTTCAACCTCTGCCATCGTGGAGTGTGCGTGCGACCAAATGCTGCCTGGCTCAGCTGAAGCAGCTTGCTTGTTGCTTATTGTCCTCCGTGTATTACGACAGCAACCATAGTCTCTTGACTCTCCTTGAGAGCAAGTCCGTTGTTTGCCACGCCACAAATCTGTGATGCATACAAGGCATGGCGAGGGAATGGTCTTGTAGCATACGCGTGTCCTTCCACCTTCATCTGCGGCACGTCCTGCATGTTTGTCAGATCCGCGCGTAATATATACTGTACAATGCGTTGCCTCAAAATCGCGGGTAGAGAGACTCGTCTCGAGGAGCCTCAAGAGTCATGCTAGATCTGGTCCGTCGAGCGCGTATGCGTCCGTTTCGCCAGTCTCACTGAGCCATGGAATATCATCAACCAGTGAACTGTCTTCAACCAGGCTACGTCGCGTTTATCGAGAATCTCCTGCCTCCTTGCCCTTGCGGTTGCGGCTTGCATGAGTCGTGCCCGGCGGCCAGAACAGATTCCGCTCCCCCTTCCGCCGTAGTCGCGCGCGCATCCTCTGCGCTGCCCTCTAAGCCGCTCATGAGGCAACTTTCGCGGCAGGCTGGGGAGGCGGAACCCGCGCCGATCCCCTCCCATCGCCCGTCCGCACCGCTCTTGGCTGCGATACCGCGAACAGCTAGCTTCGATACTGGGTCCGCCATGGCGGCGGCCGGCCGCAGCGCGCCGAGCGGTCGCGCCGCTTCTGGCGCGGGCGGCGCAGCGCGACGAGTGGATCTAATGGCGCTGTTGGAATCGTGGGAGAAGGAGCTCGGAACGTCGTCGGATGAGGAGTCCGTCGAGGGGGACAGGGTTCCTCGGTACGGCGCGGGGAGGCCGCGCGAAGAAGGACATTCGGCGAATAGGATTACCAGATTCTCCTCGTTCAACGGTTCTTCCTACAACACGAGGAAATTTGCGGAAGGATCGGCGGAGGGCGCCCCGGAGGGCTCGGCGGAGCGGAAAGAGGGTATCATGGCGCAAGGGACCGTGGCGGGAGCGGCAGCGGGGGCGGCAGCGGGGGCGGTGGCGACGGGGGCGACGACGACGTGGAATCATAGCAGGGTAGGGAGAATCACCAAATGGCGGAATGCTGCAGATGCCGCTCCGGGGAATCCGGCGGACGGCGGACTGTCGGGATCCTTCCGCGCGCGCGAGTTTCGGCGGCAGGCGTCATTTGTAGAGCCCTCGCGCGCCGCCGCGAAGGCGCAGCCGTTCGGCGCGCCTAGTAACGGGTCACCGGAGCATGCCTTTGTCGCGTACATGGCTCAGCAGCGATCCAGCCTGGAAAACCTCGAAGACGCCGCGTCGTTTTTCTGCGGCGCCGCGCACCAGGCGCGCTCCGACGATGACACAGCGGTAGCGAATATCGAGCTTGCTTTTCCATCTGCGGATAAAATCTCCTCCGGTGGGATCGCAGGCCGAAATGCCATCCAGACTTTTTCTGACAAGACGGGAGCGTTAGGAAGTTTCGCGGATGCAGCTCTGCCCGTAGATCCGCCGGAGGAGGTAAGCCGCGCGTTGGCGGTGCTGTCGCAATGGCGCGCTAAGGCGCAGAGCGGACGCGGCGAGAACGTGAGACAGCAAGTCGGAGGCAATGTCAAATCTCCTCCGTCCGCCGGTCCATCGGATAAGGTTGCTTCCGCAGGGTCCGCGGCTTCCGCTGCGTTCTCATCAGTGTTCCCTCTCTCGTCCGCCGCTTCGCCTCCCGCCAGCCCTTCCGCCCCCCCGCACTCCGCCACCTTCCCCCTTTCCCTCGCGGGGTCCCCCGGCTCCCCCTCTTCCGACTCTTCCCCCACCCGCACTTCATCCACGTCGTCTTCCGCCGTCCCCATTGCGGCGCCTGTTACAGATGCCAAGTCAGCAGCCGCTACCGCGCTCGCCATCATGCCAATCATGGCCAGGCACGCGCACGCGCGGGGGCTGGTCGGCGGACAAGCTACGCGCAACGCGCGCGCGGTCGGCGCAGATTGCGGGAGGCCCGCTGCCGTGGAGTCTTGCGCGGACGCGCTGCCTGGCGCGCGCAGGGCGAACGCGGAGGGGGAAAAGGCCGTTGATTTCGCCAACCATAGCGGCGGGATTCAGGCAGTTAGTAGCCGAAGGGGGGGCTGGGGAAGCGCAGGGGAATGCGACGAGGGGCAGGCGGGAAGAATCGGGGGACTTGGGGGTGAGGTCGCAGGCGCGGGCGCAGACGCAGGCGCAGGCGCGGGCGCGGGCGCGGGCGCGGGGAAGGTTCCCCCTCGCAGCCACGTACAGGCGCTGCTGGAGGACGCGCGGAGCCGGCGCGAGGCGTATCTGCGCATCCGAAGCCGCAGCGGGTCGCTCTCCGTATCCCCCTTTACTTTCGCCCCTCATGCGCTCACTCCCGCGCCCGGCCCTCCCCCCGCTACTGCCACGCCCGTTCCAGCCCCATCCCGCGTGCAAACGTTTTCCCGCCTAGACATCCCGTTGTCTCCCCACTGCGTCTCGTCCACCTCCTCCTCCCCCTCGCCTTCCCCTTCCGCGTCCCTTCCCCCGCCGCTCGCTTTGTACGCTGGCACAAACTCCCCCCCGCTCTCCCTCGCGCACATTCAGCTGCTGTCGCAGAAGCGCGGAAGCGGGGGAGAAGGCGGAGCGGCAGGGGAAGCGGGGGGAGCGGGAGAAGTGGGGGGTGAGGATGTTGGTCTGGCGCAATCCCAGAACCACATTTCCGCCGCGGCTTGCGCCGCGGCCGCCTTTACCGGCGCAACAGGCGGAGGGTTGGGCGCTGCAGGCGGAACTTTGGTCGCAACAGGCGGAGAGCTGGGCGCGGAAGGCGGAAATCTGGGCGCAACAGGCGGAGCGGAGGCGGTGCAGGCGTGGCGGCACGGGGAAGGGCAGGCGCAGAGGCGCAGCGGCATGCCGCCCCTGTCCCCGCGGTCGTCCGCACCATTGGGGGTCACGGTCTTTGGCGCGCGGGGAAGGCCCGCACAGAAGCCAGACGCTGCGCGCAATCTCTTAGTCTCGCTCTCCCCCTCCGCCTCCTCCCCCTCGCCTGCTTCCCCCTCCGCCTCCCCCTCCCCCCGCGCACTCCTCCCCGGTGGTGTTTCCCTCGCGCGCATCCCTATCAGCCCGCCTGTTTCCGCCGGCAGCCCGCGCTGCACCAGCGGCGGCGCAAGCGGAAGCGGAAGCGGAGGCGGGAGCAGCATTTTCAGTGTGGAGAAGAACAGGAGCAGCAGCGGCGGCGGTACCAGTGCTGGCGGCGGAATCACGAGCAGCGCCAGCAGCGGCGCCATCAGCAGCAGCAGCTATACCGGCGAGCCGCAGTCTGGCCGCATTCCCGTGAGCCGAAGCTTCGATCTCAGCGCCATTCGCGGCCGCGGCGGCGGCGGCGACGGCAGGGACAGCAGCAGCGGAGGCAGCGGGGGAGAGGGCGGCGGTAGAGGCGCGGGCGGTGGCGGAGGGGGGACGAGGGGGAGGCAGCGGCGAGGCGCGATCAGGGAGGTGAGTAAGAGCGCGTCGTGGGTGGCGGGCGCGGGGTCACCCGCCACTAGCGGGTCTGGCAAGGGGTTGTGGGGCAGAGTGGGTCGTGAGGCGGTGGCGAACAGGGAGGGGATGGAGGGGAGGGAGGGGAGGGAACAGCGTGGGGAGGCATGGCAGCGGCAGCAGCGGATTGGCCGGCGATCGGTCGTCTTCTCGCCTGATGTCGCCCATGGTGTTGCACGTAGTGCAGGCAGGGACGAGAGGTCGTCGCACTCCCACTCCCACTCACACTCACACTCACACTCACACGCGCATACAGCGGTGAAGCAGAGCTTTTCCAGCCCGCTGCCGCTCTTGCACCCGCCGTATGAGGCGTCTAGCAATGCGCCCCTGTCGCACCCGCCACCCGCTCCTGTCTCGCCTCCACTGCTCTCACCTGGCCCCTCTCCTCCCCATTCCTCCTTCTCCGGCCCTCTTTCCTCCTCCCCCTTCTCCGGCCCTCTCACCTCCTCCCCATTCTCCGGACCTCTCTCCTCATTCTCCGGCCCCCTCTCCTCCTCGCTCCCTTCCGCCTCGCCCCTCACGCGCGGCCTCTCCAAAACCTCTCTCAAGCGCGCCCCCTCCCCCACAGCCGTCCACGAGTCACCCCAGTCAACGCAGAGGGCGCCGTCCCCTCGAGTGGGCTTCGAGTGCGGTCAGCAGGCGCCGTCCCCCCGCGCGCGAGGCAGTGGCGGCACAGCCACAGTCGCAGGCGCAGGCGCAGGCGCAGGCACAGCTGCAGCTGCAGGCACAGAAAGCGTTTCGCCTGGCGTTACATTGGATGGCGATGCTGCTGCTGCTGCCAGCAGCAGCGCTGGCGGTGTTGCCAGCTGTCGCTTTCCGTCGAGCCGTTCCGTGGATGCAGGCAAGTCAGGTGCTGCTGCTGCTGGGGGGGGCTCGCGCGGGCGCAGGCTGATGAAGGGCGGCAGCGCGCAGGAGCGCGGGCTGGCGCGCATAGGCGAGCGAGACGAGCCGTGGGGTGCTGTGCCTTCCTCCGTGTCCGCTTCAGGAGTCGTTTCTGTTTCAGCATTAGCGGCAGACGCAGCAGCTGCAGGTGCAGCAGGTGCAGGGGTTGCAAGGGGTGCAGCAGGGTTGGGAGGGATGGCAGAGGCAGCAGCAGGGAGCAGGGAGTATGTGAATCGGAAAGTGCAGATCCCACATTCCTGGAAAGCCCCTCCGACCATTATCGTGCCCTCTCCCTCCTCCTCATCCCCCTCCATCTCCTCCCTCTCCTCTATCCCCTCCCTTTCCTCCTTTCCCTCCTCCTCTTCCATCCCCTCCTCCTCCTCTATTCTCTCCTCCTCCTCCTCCTCCTCTTCTCTCGCCTTTGCGTCGCCTGCCCCCACAAGTCAATCTCCAATGCTGCCTTCTGCTACTCCTGTTGAGGCTGCTGCGTCTCAAAATTCATCCCCAGTGCTGCCCTCACCTGCGGCACCTGATGAAACACCTGAGGGGACACCTGAAGCGGCACCTGAAACGGCACCTGAAGCTCGCAGTGTCGCTTCTGAGGCGACTCGCAGCAACTCTTCCTTCCTCCGACGACCAGCCACCCCATACCTAGCTCCACCTGCCGTTACCGAACCAGCCACACTCACCGAGCCTGCACCAGCATCTGCTACCGAGCCTGCTGCTGAGGCTCGGGGGAGGGTGGGCGGGTTCAGTGAGCCAATGAAACGAGTGGTCCGGTTCAGCAAGGAAGGTTCGGTCCCTTGCAACGAGCAGCATTCCCTCTCAGGCTCTTTTCCTGCTGTCGCTCGCTCTCAGGGGGCGGGTCGCCGCTCCCTCTCCCCGCCCTCTGCCCTCTGCTCCTCTGCTGCGGCCAGTGCAGGGCAGGTGAGCGCAGGGCAGGTGAGCGCAGGGCAGGTGAGTGCTTTCGTGAGGGCTCGTGATGGTGGCCGTGCGAAGCATGGTGGCAGTCGGCTAAGTGGTGTGCAGCAGAGGAAGGCCGGTGAGACCAAGGGTGGTGGGAGGAGGGGTGGCGGGGTGAAGGCTGGTGAGAGTTCCTGTGGGGAGGAGGAGTTGGTACCTAGTCCGGCTTCTTCCACTTCATACTCCCCTTCCTCCTCCCCTTCCTCTTCCTCCTCGTCTCCCTCCTCCTGTTCCCGCTTTATTGAGGCAAGTAGCAGCAGTAACAGCGGCAACAGTGGCAACATTGGCAGCAGCGGAAACAGTGGCAACGTTTGCAGCGGTCAAATTCAGGTGGCAGGGAACGCACGGCCAAAAGAAAGGCAGGGTGAGAGCGGGAGCCTGTTACGGGAACAGGAGCAGCAGCAATCGCAGCACAAAGAGCGTCAGCAGCAGCAACAGCAGGAGCAGCAGAAGCAGCAGCAGGAGGAGGAGGAGGAGGAGGAGGAAGAGGAGGAAGAGGAGGAAGAGGAGGAGCCAGGAGTGGAGAGTGCAAGGCGGTATGTGCTGCGGCGGCCGTATGCATATGTGCATGCGGCCTACAGCATGGATGGGCAAGCAGATGGAGCAGAGGGAGCAGCGGCAGCAGCAGCAGCAGCAGCGGTGGCACCTGGAGCAAGGGCAGTGGGGGTGGAGGAGCGGGCGTGCGTGTGCAGGAGGACGGGGAGGCAGTACTGGTGCCGCACGCTGTGCAAGGCGGCTCTCAGAAGCGCAGCAGCGGTGGAGGCGGTGGGGCGCAAGGTGGCCATGCTGGAGATGGTGCGGGGGGCGCCGCATGTGGTCACCATGCTGCGAGCATTTGAGGACACGCAGGTGAGGTTGAGGGGAGCAGGTGGGTGGAGGGGCCACGTGGGTTGGGGGGGGAGCAGGTGGGCTTTTGGTGAGAGCAGGTGAGGTTGAGGGGAGCAGGTGGGTGGGGGAGAACAGGCAGTTGCTCTCCATTGAGTCAACCCAAAATCCCCCTTCTTTCCCTCCCACCACCGGGTCATCCACATGGTATTGGAGCACGTTCCCCGAGGCAGCCTCTCTATTCACTTGACTCAGGGACCCCTTACCCATCCCCTTCCCCGTTTCCTCCCCCCCTCCCCCGTATCCCCCACGTTCTCTCTACTTCACACCAGGCCATCCACATGGTATTGGAGCACTGTCCCGGAGGCAACCTTGCCGATCGCCTCGCTTCCTGCCGGGCCTTCTCCGAGCCTGACGCCGCAGCTGTGGTTCGGCAGGTGGCGGCAGGTCTGGCGGCGTGCCATGAGATGGGGGTGGTGCACCGGGGAGTGAGTGCGGAGGCTGTGCTGCTGATGGGGCAGGAGGGATCCCCTGTGGATGTGCGGTTATCTGGCTTTCAACATGCCACCTTCTTTGAACCTGGTAAGTTGAGTGGGTGCAATGTGGTGAGAGTGTTTTTTTTGCATCCATTCCCGCCATTCCAGACGCCGCTTGCTGTCTGCAGTCAAACCTGTAATGTCATGATGCACGCGCTCTCATCCACCGTCCCTGGCCTCAACACACACTCTCTCTCTCTCTCTCTGTGTCTACATGCATGATTCATCAGGTCGCCTGCACACGGAGGCAGTGGGAGCACCGGCATACAGGGCACCGGAGATGATCCAGGGGGGGTACGGCCCGCCAGCAGACGTGTGGAGCCTCGGGGTGTTACTGCACCTCCTGCTCTCCTCCCGCCTCCCCTTCCACGCCTCCTCCCCCGCCGCCCTCTCCTCCTCCATCCTCAACGACCCCGCCTCCCTTCTCTCTGCACCTACCAGTGACTCACAGCCGCATGGGCAGTCGCTGCTACTGCCCGGAGCTGTGCCGCCCGGTGCACAGCTGCACGGTGCAGGGCTGTCAGGGGAGGGTGTGGTGTCGGCGCCATCGTCCGCTGCGTCTTCACCTGGTTCTGCGTCCTCTCAGTGCTCTCCCTCTTTCAGTCAGTCCCCGTCTCCTGTCGCCACTTCAGCTGCTGCTGCAGCAGCAGAGGCAGTCACAGGAAGGGTGGAGGGGAAGTATGGGGAAGGGGAAGGGCAGAGCACAGATGGGTATGAGGTATCAATGGCAGGGCAAGTGGCTGTGTCAGAGGCAGGAGTGTTGGGTACGGAGTCGGTATCACCAGCAGTTCCCAATGCGCCTGGAGAAGGCACCAGTGGGGCAAATGGGAGTGGGAGTGATGGGAGTGGTGGTGATGGAGTCACCGGGGTGGAGGGTGAGGTGCAGGAGGGTGTGTGGTGGGTGCAGCTGTCGCCTCCAGCGGTGGACCTGCTAAGGCGCATGCTGGAGAAGGACCCTGGGAGGCGCATAGATCTGCACCAGGTGCTGCAGCACCCCTGGATTCAACGATTGTGATGAATGAATCCTCGTCAGATGTTTCTATACGGATGCATGTTGTGGCGCTTACTGTGGACGTGTAAAACTGGTGAATTGTGTTTGTTCACTTTCTTATGGGTGGGTTGTTTGTAAGTCAGTCAAGTTCAGTGTGGCTGGTTTCTGGCAATATCGTTTGAGTGATACTGGTGTTAAGCAGAGGCATAGACCAAAATGGAAGTGGTATTGGAACATTTTTTTTTTCAGTAGCAATGTGGAAGTACAATGTTAATTATTTACCGTATGTGGAGCTAAATCGAGTAGAAAGAGTACTGACCGTACAGTGGGCGTGAGGCAGCTCTTGAGGAAGGTAGCGTAGAGCTGCCATGCCAACCTGAGCAATTCCAGACGAAGCTTCGAGTTGCACATGTACACCTGGTCTGCGGTAAATTCACCGGCGGTATTTTTACCTGTTTGTCGGCTTGCTGTGCGGAACTTGTTGGGCGGCCAAAAATCACTGTACACAGTTGACCGAACCAAGTTGGAGAAATCGCGGGCCCTTTCTTTGATATTTTGGCTGGCGCCATGAACGGGATGTGCTCAGTAGCGAGACACAAATCACGACTTCTTCATTAGGATTTTCTCGGCCAATCGCCACCGTCGATGCTTCCTCTTAGCTGACACTCGAAACTCAGCAATGCGATAAAGAGCAAAGTGTTCCTTTTGCAGGGTACTCTCAGAACTTTCCATGTTGGACAGATATTTGGTGGTGAAAATAACGACCCAAATTTTGAGCATTAATCTTCATCACGGCCAGATAATCCAAAATCCTGCTACCACTTTTACGCGACGAATATACCGCAGACCAGGTGTATTACGGCCCTCATTAATGCCCGCACCGCAACAAGGAAACTTCATCAGTTCCTCGGCCATTTATTGGTGGACGAATACACTCACTGGATCGTCGTAACGAGTGCGAAACACTCCAACGGACCAGTGTGCTTGACTGCGACTGTTCACCTCATGTTCAACGTGAGGTGAGTTGACTTGTCTGCGTTGGCGGCGTGCGTGGTGCTGCAGCATTTTTCATGCTGGGTTTGGGCAGCTTTCGTGTATCCAGTGCGTAGGAGGCGTACCCTGATTGGTTCAGTGCCTTGCCCTTTTCCCACCACCACGGGCTCACTCCAGAGGTTTCATCGACATGTGTGAGGCTGTTATCGATGGGGAAGAAACAGAAAGACCACGGGTGGAGGAAAAGATTTCAGTGAACTGTACCATTTGGCCAGCACGAAATGTCGGGGTTCTCAAATAATGTTTTCTAGGTTGCCTGATTTTCAATGCACTTTACCCTGGCTTCCCTTCAACATCGAACACTATTTCTCAGATGGAGTGGTGGAGCATTATGTGACAGGCATTATTCCTAACTAGGCTAATGAGATAATGATCTCGTCTCCCTAGCCCCAGTAGCTATAGTTACATATACCCTCGAAACCTGTACAAGATGCTCCCGCCCTTTTGTCTAGTCGGCACGGAAGTTGCCCTCCCTGCTGCCGTGATTTCGCCTCGCGGCGGCTGTCGGTCCGCTTGATCTCACCCATTCATCCACTCCATCCGACCGCACGCACGCACCAATCGCTCCCGCCTTCTCCCCTCCCTTCCCCCTCTCGTGCCCTCCCCTCCCCCATGCCCTCCCCTTCCCCTCACCTCCCCTGCCCGTCCCACAATCCAACCAGTGAGCAGTGACCACGTCCAACTGGCAGATTTCTCTACTGTGCCGCACGGGGGATGCGCAGCAATCAGTCATTGAAACGGTCCCTTCCTTTTCTGATGAGCTAACTTGCTTCTGAGTTCGGGGCTCGTCTAGCGCGGTCCAGTACGTTAACTCGGGGTCAAGAACGATAATCAGCTTCCGCCGATTTAGACCACCTGGTACCAAACTGCACCGTATAGATGCGAATAAAATGTGTGATCCTGTGTGTGATCATCCCACCCAGCTGGATCATTCCCCTCCCCAGTATCTAACCACCTCTTGGCAGCATTCAGCTTTTCTTCCCCCCCAGCATCGCCATCCTTCTGTAGAACCACTCCGTCAATCGCGCCAACTTACAGTAGCACTGCTGAAACGCCTTATCTAGCCATGGAAACGAGCAACATATTTCCTGCCAAGCTTGCGATTCAACCCATCGAGACCTTGGAGCATGTTCAGAAAATTCCGACGTCAAATGACGACATGCCGAACCTCGTCCGAACACACAGGAACGCAACAGATGTGGAACGAACCAATCTGACCATGTGGACATTCGCCGATACCGAACTTGATTCAATCCCTCTTTCGGCTAGCCGTGATTGACGGAAAGGGCTCTGTGACCCAGCGTGATGTCAACCACAGCAAGAGCAGCAGCTGTCTCCCGGAATGGGGATGCTTTTAGCGCCGCGAGCGGACATGATTCACAGCAACGATTCCTCAGAGTGCGGCGCCAAGCTCCAGTTCGCAGCGCCTGATTACAGACCTCCAGCTGGCCGGTCGCGCCGTAGAAGCTTCAACGAGCCTTCGTTCGAATCGTGGCGCGTCAGCAGGCCAATCTCAGACTCTGGCGCCTGTCTCGTCGAGCCTGCCGCTTACGACCCCTCCTCTCGTGCGCCATCCGCGTTGTCCTCTCCCGCAGCTTCTGGGTCGTCGTCGCCTGTCGCCGTTCCTCGCGCGAGCAGCAGCAGCAACAGTCACAGAAGCCCTCCTAGTGCCGCGGTCGCGTTCCCCACGTCTCTCTCGTCTCCTGTCGGCTCTCCGCAATTCAGCTCCTTCCTCTCGTCACTCTCCCCGCACCCGCTTCAACTCAACCACCCTAATCCGCTCATCGTACCGCCGCTCCCCTCGAGGAGTATTGACTTCACCGTGACCGACGGCGCGTCGCGGTCGTCTTTTGAGAGCTTCGGCTCGACGGCTGCTGACCCTCTGTCTCCCGCATTCACCACGAGTGCCTCCCCCCCGTGCCCCTCCTCCCCCTCCTATCACTGCGTTTTCCCCTCGCCGCCTCCCAGCCCGCCATCCGAGCGCCATGACCTTACCCCTTTTCTTTTCGAGAATCCTCAAAAAACAACAATTAGCCCATCCCTCGAGCCATACCAGCCTAGTAGCCCCTTCCAAAGCGCCCCGCAGAGTCCTCACGGACGGGGGATAAGATCCCTCGGGAGCTCGCCACGTGGTAGTTCCGCGCTGACTGCGGAGAGTGAGCGGCTCGGCGGAAGCTGTCGCTGGACCGGCGGGCCATCCAATCCCCCCACCTCTTCCGCCTCCCCGGCCGGCGTTTCTTCCGCCTCCGCGCGCAGGCGCTCGATGCGCCACCTCCCGCCGCTCGCGCAGGAGCCCCCTTCCGCCGCCTCGTCGTTCGCCGTCGTCACCGCCACAGCGGCATTGGCGGAAGCGCGGCGGCTGAAGCGCGCATCGTCGTCGTCGTCAGGACTCGAGGGGAAGGGCGGGTTCTCTTTTCACCATCCCGCCGCCACCCCCTCCCCGCCCCTAGCAGCCCCGTCCCAACGGCTAAGCAGCACCCATCCCCGCTTCCACCGCCGGCACGGCTCCGCTTCGTCATCCTCCGGCTCGGGATTGTTACCCGCCTTGGGATTGCCGACGCCGCCTCGCGACTCCGCCTCGCGGCCGGCCGCGGTGGTTACGGCGGCGGCCGACTCCGCGGAACCGCTTTCTCCGGAGAGCTCCCCCACGCCGTCCGCTTCCTCTAGGGGGTATTCTCCCCGTTCCGCGCTCTCCTCCTTCGGAGCGAAACCTATTCCCACGCGTCGCAGTGGCAGCGGCGGCGGCGGTGGCAGCAGCGATAGCAGCCGCGGAATTATTAGCAGCGGCGCTATTCGCGCGTTCGATCCGTTGGACGAAGCGAGCTCGCCGCCAAACGCTCTCAGCGACAACGGCGCCCTCTCGCTTTTCGATGCGCCTTTAGCACAGCCCGTAGCGGGTGGCACGAGCCACGCCGTGTCGCACTTTCCCGTCGATCGCGGCAGCGGCGTGATGCGGGTCGGGCAAAGGGAGGACTCATTAGTAGCCGCAGAAGAATCGGAGCGCCGGGGCGCGATCGAAACGCGTTACAGAAACGCGCTGAATGAACCCCGCGGCACCGGCAGCGGCGGCGAGGCGCGAAAAAACCGGTTTCTGGGCGGTCCGCGCAAGTCGCGGACGTTCGACGTGCTTCCGCGGGGCGCGGGGGAGGAGAGCAACGGCGGTACTCCCGTAGCTTCTGGCCCAACGGGCTTGGGGACCCGTGGGGATTCCAAGCAGCGACGGGACGGGCATTCCATGGGGGACGAGACGGCGGCGACGGCGTTCAATGGGGGAGTCGAGGGCTTTAAGAGGATCGAGGGATCTGCGGAGAGAGTGATTGGTGGAGCGGGACCGTGCGCTGCTGCGGGCGCGGCGGCGGACCGGTATGCGCGGCAGGCGCGAGGAGCAGGGCTGCAGCTACGGCGGGGTAGCGCGGGGCTCGCGGTGCAGGTGGAATCGACAAATCATCATTCTCAGCAGCAGCAGCAGCAGCAGCAGGTGTATGGGAGCGGGCATGACGCGGCGGCGGAAAGGGGGGGCGAGCGGGGGAGGCGGCTACTCAAGACGGCGAGCAGCCACCACCTGGATCCCGCGCCGTCGCTCGCGTCGCCCGCGCTCCTCACGCCGCGCGAGCGCTGGCAGCTGCTCAAAAGCGGCAGCGGCAGGTGGGGCGGGCAGGGCGGCAGCGGGAGTACCAGCCGCGGTGGCAGCGGAAGCGGCAGGAAGGGGGAGGGGGAGGAAGCGGACGATGAGCGCAGCAGAGAGATTCCCCTGCTTTCCTCCCCTGGAGCGCTCCGCCCGTGCGTTCCCGCGCCAGCACATTCCCCTACCGCCTTCCGCCGTCCGCCTCCCCGCTCTCCCCCCAGAAACCCCGCGAGCTGCGCGTCCCCTTGCGCCGCTGCTGGCGCCGCGGAAGATGCAGCTGCAACGCCGCGCGCGCCCTGGCGTTTCACAAAGGCTAAGTCCGTCTCGACAGACGGGCCCGCAATAGCGGGGATACACCTGTCCCCCTCCCCGCCGCTCTCCCCAGGCGCGCGCAGGCACGCGCTGGAGCTTCCCCCGTCGCCTCCCCGCGCCCCCGCGGCGCACAGGCACCTCGCCTCTCTCAAGCTCTCCCTCGCGTTCCTAGACGCGCTCGACAGCCCCCCCGCTGCTGACGTGGCGCTGGGCGGCGGTGGCAGCAGCAGCAGGGACGCGGCTCACGTGCAGTGCCATGCTGACGCGGACTTGCGCTGTGCTGACGCGGGCTTGCGCTTTGCTGACGCGGACAGCGACGTGGGGGGTGGGAGGACTGGTCAGGTGGGTGGGCGACTGAATGGTCGCATGGGCGGCAGCATGACGGATATGTACGGACACATGGAGAGCGTGGGAGTGGCGCCAGAGAGGGAGGTGCGAGGACAGCAGGCAATGCAGGAGCCACGGCTGCAGCAATGGCAGCAACGGCCGCAGCGCTCATTGGTGGGAGATTCGGCCGCCGTCTTGCCACATGCACCACACTCATCACACGCATCATATGCTCATGGCTTCGATGATGCCATGTCAGCGCACCGGCGAAGATCCATGGGAGGGGCTGCAGACGTGGAGAGCGGGAGCAGGAGAGGTGGCTTGTATCAGGAGCAGGGCGATGGTGACTATAACGAGAGTAACGATGCCTGGGAGCAGAAGGCATTGCACGAGAGCATGGGGTGGGGCCGGGGCGGGCAGCAGTGGCGCGGTTGGCGTGAGCTGATCCGAAGCAGCAGCAGCGGGGGGCCCAGCGACATCAGCATGGGTGGGGGCAGCAGTGGTGGCAGTGGGAGCAAAGGTGGCGGCGGTGGTGGTAGGAGTGAGAGGGAGAATGAGATGGAGGCCCTGCTGACGTCATGCCACCTGCTGCGCCACTCTCTCGCCTCCTCTTCCTCCTCCTCCTCCACCCTCGCGGCCTTCCGCACTGCCCTCGCACATGCTGATGCTCACGCGAATGCTCATGCACGTGCGGGCGGCACGTTTGCTTGTGAAAACGCCACGATGCTCAGCACCAGTATCAACGCGCACGGTGACACTGATACTGCTGCTGGTGGTGCAGCTGCAGGTGCTGCTTTTGCTGCTGCTGCTGCTGCTGCTGCTGCTGCTGCTGCGCCACCTGCTGCGGGGTCGTTATCTGGCCCGCTCCCTCGCATTGCTCGCTCCAGTAAGTACTGCAGCCAAGGCAGTCAAGGAAGTCAACGCGGCCGAGGAAGTCAAGAAAGTCAACGCCGCCAGAGAAGCGGCAGAATGACCCGAGTCAAGTCTGGGTCATGCACGAGCCCTCTGGACTGTGTTGCTGGACGAGGGGAGGAGGAGGGGGCGTTGGGTGGCGCGGGAAGAGTGGGCTTTGGGCGGCTGGGGTCGAGAGTTGGGTTCTCTCCCCGGAGAAATGGGCTTGGGATTGGTGGCGCTAGGAATGGGAGGAAGTGGGATGAGGAGGAGGAGGGGGATGAGGAGGGGGATGAGGAGGGGGAAGGGGGAGAGGAAGGGGGGTGGGAAGGTGGGGAGAGCTGGTCGGGGTTGGCAGGAGCAGAGGGTGGGGGTGCGGAGAAAGAGTGGCGGGTGTGGCTGGCGAAAGGAATGACTGCTGCCTCTGCTAGTGCTGCTGTTTCTGCTGCTGCTGCTGGTGGCACTGGCGGTGGTGGTTTTTCTGCAGCAGCTGCTGCTGCTGCTGCTAGTGGCGTTGGTGACAATGCAGGTAACAGTGGTGGCGGTAATGGCGATGGCAATGGCGATGCGGAAAGCAGTTTCAGGGAGTGCGTGTTGGGCATGCCATATGAGGCGGTGCAGAGGCGGTACCATGTGGTGAGGGGGCGAATAGGCGAGGGCATGTTCGGCCGCATCCACACGTGTGTGGAGCGGAGCTCGCGCCGCACGTACGCGTGCAAGTCCATCTCGAAGAAGAAGCTGCAGTGCTTGGAGGATGCAGGGGATGTGCGGCAGGAGGTGGTGATGCTGCACATGCTCAAGGGCCACCCGCACATCATTGGTCTGAAGGAAGTCCTGGAAGATCCCAAGGTGAGGCGGCGGGAATCCCGAGGTAAGGGGGTGGAGATTTCAAGGCCGGTTAGCAGGATTTTCTAAGGTGAGGTGGTGATGCTGCACATGCTCAAGGGCCATCCGCACATCATTGGGCTCAAGGAGGTCCTGGAAGATCCCAAGGTCAGTGGGCGGAGATCCCAAGGTGAGTTGGCGGAGATCCCAAGGGTGAGTTGGCGGAGATCCCAAGGTGAGTTGGCGGAGATCCCAAGGTGAGTTGGCGGAGATCCCAAGGTGAGTTGGCGGAGATCCCAAGGTGAGTTGGCGGAGATCCTAAGGTGAGTTGGCAGAGATCCCAAGGTGAGTTGGCAGAGATCCCAAGGTGAGTTGGCAGAGATCCCAAGGTGAGTTGGCGGAGATCCCAAGGTGAGTTGGCGGAGATCCCAAGGTGAGTGAGTCACCGGAACATTTCTATTCGAAGAATAGCCATCCCGTGTGCACTCAGTCTTCTCACCCCAATTCATCATCTCTTTTTTCACTCCATTCTATCTCCCTCGCTTTCCCCTCTCCCCCCACCGCCCCCCTTCCCTCTCACATCCAGTCTATCCATCTCATCATGGATCTCTGTTCGGGCGGCGATCTATTCGACGCAGTCAAGGCCAGAAAGCACCTCCCCGAGCCGCTAGCGGCGCGGCTGCTGCAGCAGCTGGTGGGAGCGCTGCTGCACTGCCACGCCACGGGCATCGTCCACCGCGACGTGAAGCCCGAAAACATCCTCCTCGTCTCCTCGTCCTCCGCTGCCGCGCGCCGCACGGCCAGCATGGGGAGCGGGGTCATGAGCGCGATGAGCTCAGCAGGTGGAGGAGGAGAGGGGAGCCACGGCAATCAGCTGGTTGATGAGGACGTTGCCGATCACCTGGGTTCACTGTGGAACAGAGGAGCCACGGTGGGGGGCACAGGCAGCACGGGATCGTTTCTTGACAGAGGGGAGTGCGATCTGCACATCAAGCTCATCGACTTTGGCGTGGCTGCGTTCCTCGATCATGGTGCGCAGGGAAACCTCTCGGGTGCCACGGTTTTGGCCTGGATCCCTTGCTTGTGCCAATCTTCAACTGCTCCGTGAATCACTTCCCTGCCCAGCCTCCCCTCCCCTGCCTCGTTCATTTCTAATCGCTATCTTGTGCTGCACTTTCTGTTACCACCCACCCAACGTATCACACGTCATGCATTCGGCCCCCCATCACGTCACAACATGTGGATCTGCAGTAACGACCTCTGTTGGAGTGGAAGCATGTGTGCTTCGCAGTGATCAACCTCCATCTCCACCCCACTCCATGCCACCCCCACCCAACACCCCTCCACCCACCAGACGGCATGTGCAGGCACACGGCAGCCACGACAGAGTACATGGCACCAGAGGTGCTCTCAGGGGTCCATTACTCCCCTCAGGTGGACGTGTGGAGCGCGGGGATTCCCAACTCCCAACTCCACCCTACCCAACCCAACCCCACTCCACCCAACCTCACTCCACCCCACCCCACATCACCCACCAGACGGCATGTGCAGGCACACGGCGGGCACGACAGAGTACATGGCACCAGAGGTGCTCTCAGGCGGGCGCTACTCCCCACAGGTGGACGTGTGGAGTGCGGGGGTGGTGCTCTTCGTCATGCTCTCAGGGGTGCTCCCCTTCTGGCCGTCCCACCGTGAGGGGCGCTCCACAGAAGATGCCGTGCTGCGCCAGCCGCTGCGGTTCGGGCATTTCCGGTGGGCGGCGGTGTCCGGGGCGGCAAAGGACCTGGTGGCGAGGATGCTGACGAGGGACCCTGACAAGAGGATTTCCGCCTTGCAAGTGCTTGGTGAGTGGTATAGTCGGTGATGGGTGGATGAGTGGTAGGGTAGGTGATGAGTGTGTGATGGGTGGGTGGGAGACCTGGCTGGCAAGGGACCTCATGGCGAGGATGCTCACGAGGGACCCCAACGAGAGGATTTCCGCACTGCAAGTGCTTGGTGAGTGGTAGGCTCGGTGGTGGATGGGTGGGTGTGGGTGGTAGGTTCGGTGATGGGTGGGTGGTAGGCTCGGTGATGGGTGGGTGGTAGGCTCGGTGATGGGTGGGTGGTAGGCTCGGTGATGGGTGGGTGGTAGGCTCGGTGATGGGTGGGTGGTAGGCTCGGTGATGGGTGGGTGGTAGGCTCGGTGATGGGTGGGTGGTAGGCTCGGTGATGGGTGGGTGGTAGGCTCGGTGATGGGTGGGTGGTAGGCTCGGTGATGGGTGGGTGGTAGGCTCGGTGATGGGTGGGTGGTAGGCTCGGTGGTGGGTGGGTGGTAGGCTCGGTGATGGGTGGGTGGTAAGGCTCGGTGATGGGTGGGTGGTAGGCTCGGTGATGGGTGGGTGGTAGGCTCGGTGATGGGTGGGTGGTAGGCTCGGTGATGGGTGGGTGGTAGGCTCGGTGATGGGTGGGTGGTAGGCTCGGTGATGGGTGGGTGGTAGGCTCGGTGATGGGTGGGTGGTAGGCTCGGTGATGGGTGGGTGGTAGGCTCGGTGATGGGTGGGTGGTAGGCTCGGTGATGGGTGGGTGGTAGGCTCGGTGATGGGTGGGTGGTAGGCTCGGTGATGGGTGGGTGGTAGGCTCGGTGATGGGTGGTGGGTGGTAGGCTCGGTGATGGGTGGGTGGTAGGCTCGGTGATGGGTGGGTGGTAGGCTCGGTGATGGGTGGGTGGTAGGCTCGGTGATGGGTGGGTGGTAGGCTCGGTGATGGGTGGGTGGTAGGCTCGGTGATGGGTGGGTGGTAGGCTCGGTGATGGGTGGGTGGTAGGCTCGGTGATGGTGGGGGTAGCTCGGTGATGGTGGGTGGTAGGCTCGGTGATGGATGGGTGGTAGGCTCGGTGATGGGTGGGTGGTAGGCTCGGTGATGGGTGGGTGGTAGGCTCGGTGATGGGTGGGTGGTAGGCTCGGTGATGGGTGGGTGGTAGGCTCGGTGATGGGTGGGTGGTAGGCTCGGTGATGGGTGGGTGGTAGGCTCGGTGATGGGTGGGTGGTAGGCTCGGTGATGGGTGGGTGGTAGGCTCGGTGATGGGTGGGTGGTAGGCTCGGTGATGGGTGGGTGGTAGGCTCGGTGATGGGTGGGTGGTAGGCTCGGTGATGGGTGGGTGGTAGGCTCGGTGATGGGTGGGTGGTAGGCTCGGTGATGGGTGGGTGGTAGGCTTGGTGATGGGTGGGTGGTAGGCTCGGTGATGGGTGGGTGGTGGTAGGCTCGGTGATGGGTGGGTGGTAGGCTCGGTGATGGGTGGGTGGTAGGCTCGGTGATGGGTGGGTGGTAGGCTCGGTGATGGGTGGGTGGTAGGCTCGGTGATGGGTGGGTGGTAGGCTCGGTGATGGGTGGGTGGTAGGCTCGGTGATGGGTGGGTGGTAGGCTCGGTGATGGGTGGGTGGTAGGCTCGGTGATGGGTGGGTGGTAGGCTCGGTGATGGGTGGTGGGTGGTAGGCTCGGTGATGGGTGGGTGGTAGGCTCGGTGATGGGTGGGTGGTAGGCTCGGTGATGGGTGGGTGGTAGGCTTGGTGATGGGTGGGTGGTAGGCTCGGTGATGGGTGGGTGGTGGTAGGCTCGGTGATGGGTGGGTGGTAGGCTCGGTGATGGGTGGGTGGTAGGCTCGGTGATGGGTGGGTGGTAGGCTCGGTGATGGGTGGGTGGTAGGCTCGGTGATGTGGGTGTAGGCGTGATGGGTGGTAGGCTCGGTGATGGGTGGTGGGTGGTAGGCTCGGTGATGGGTGGGTGGTAGGCTCGGTGATGGGTGGGTGGTAGGCTCGGTGATGGGTGGGTGGTAGGCTCGGTGATGGGTGGGTGGTAGGCTCGGTGATGGGTGGGTGGTAGGCTCGGTGATGGGTGGGTGGTAGGCTCGGTGATGGGTGGGTGGTAGGCTCGGTGATGGGTGGGTGGTAGGCTCGGTGATGGGTGGGTGGTAGGCTCGGTGATGGGTGGGTGGTAGGCTCGGTGATGGGTGGGTGGTAGGCTCGGTGATGGGTGGGTGGTAGGCTCGGTGATGGGTGGGTGGTAGGCTCGGTGATGGGTGGGTGGTAGGCTCGGTGATGGGTGGGTGGTAGGCTCGGTGATGGGTGGGTGGTAGGCTCGGTGATGGGTGGGTGGTAGGCTCGGTGATGGGTGGGTGGTAGGCTCGGTGATGGGTGGGTGGTAGGCTCGGTGATGGGTGGGTGGTAGGCTCGGTGATGGGTGGGTGGGTGGTAGGCTCGGTGATGGGTGGGTGGTAGGCTCGGTGATGGGTGGGTGGTAGGCTCGGTGATGGGTGGGTGGTAGGCTCGGTGATGGGTGGGTGGTAGGCTCGGTGATGGGTGGGTGGTAGGCTCGGTGATGGGGTGGGTGGTAGGCTCGGTGATGGGTGGGTGGTAGGCTCGGTGATGGGTGGGTGGTAGGCTCGGTGATGGGTGGGTGGTAGGCTCGGTGATGGGTGGGTGGTAGGCTCGGTGATGGGTGGGTGGTAGGCTCGGTGATGGGTGGGTGGTAGGCTCGGTGATGGGTGGGTGGTAGGCTCGGTGATGGGTGGGTGGTAGGCTCGGTGATGGGTGGGTGGTAGGCTCGGTGATGGGTGGGTGGTAGGCTCGGTGATGGGTGGGTGGTAGGCTCGGTGATGGGTGGGTGGTAGGCTCGGTGATGGGTGGGTGGTAGGCTCGGTGATGGGTGGGTGGTAGGCTCGGTGATGGGTGGTGGGTGGTAGGCTCGGTGATGGGTGGGTGGTAGGCTCGGTGATGGGTGGGTGGTAGGCTCGGTGATGGGTGGGTGGTAGGCTCGGTGATGGGTGGGTGGTAGGCTCGGTGATGGGTGGGTGGTAGGCTCGGTGATGGGTGGGTGGTAGGCTCGGTGATGGGTGGGTGGTAGGCTCGGTGATGGGTGGGTGGTAGGCTCGGTGATGGGTGGGTGGTAGGCTCGGTGATGGGTGGGTGGTAGGCTCGGTGATGGGTGGGTGGTAGGCTCGGTGATGGGTGGGTGGTAGGCTCGGTGATGGGTGGGTGGTAGGCTCGGTGATGGGTGGGTGGTAGGCTCGGTGATGGGTGGGTGGTAGGCTCGGTGATGGGTGGGTGGTAGGCTCGGTGATGGGTGGGTGGTAGGCTCGGTGATGGGTGGGTGGTAGGCTCGGTGATGGGTGGGTGGTAGGCTCGGTGATGGGTGGGTGGTAGGCTCGGTGATGGGTGGGTGGTAGGCTCGGTGATGGGTGGGTGGTAGGCTCGGTGATGGGTGGGTGGTAGGCTCGGTGATGGGTGGGTGGTAGGCTCGGTGATGGGTGGGTGGTAGGCTCGGTGATGGGTGGGTGGTAGGCTCGGTGATGGGTGGGTGGTAGGCTCGGTGATGGGTGGGTGGTAGGCTCGGTGATGGGTGGGTGGTAGGCTCGGTGATGGGTGGGTGGTAGGCTCGGTGATGGGTGGGTGGTAGGCTCGGTGATGGGTGGGTGGTAGGCTCGGTGATGGGTGGGTGGTAGGCTCGGTGATGGGTGGGTGGTAGGCTCGGTGATGGGTGGGTGGTAGGCTCGGTGATGGGTGGGTGGTAGGCTCGGTGATGGGTGGGTGGTAGGCTCGGTGATGGGTGGGTGGTAGGCTCGGTGATGGGTGGGTGGTAGGCTCGGTGATGGGTGGGTGGTAGGCTCGGTGATGGGTGGGTGGTAGGCTCGGTGATGGGTGGGTGGTAGGCTCGGTGATGGGTGGGTGGTAGGCTCGGTGATGGGTGGGTGGTAGGCTCGGTGATGGGTGGGTGGTAGGCTCGGTGATGGGTGGGTGGTAGGCTCGGTGATGGGTGGGTGGTAGGCTCGGTGATGGGTGGGTGGTAGGCTCGGTGATGGGTGGGTGGTAGGCTCGGTGATGGGTGGTGGGTGGTAGGCTCGGTGATGGGTGGGTGGTAGGCTCGGTGATGGGTGGGTGGTAGGCTCGGTGATGGGTGGGTGGTAGGCTCGGTGATGGGTGGGTGGTAGGCTCGGTGATGGGTGGGTGGTAGGCTCGGTGATGGGTGGGTGGTAGGCTCGGTGATGGGTGGGTGGTAGGCTCGGTGATGGGTGGGTGGTAGGCTCGGTGATGGTGGTGGGTGGTAGGCTCGGTGATGGGTGGGTGGTAGGCTCGGTGATGGGTGGGTGGTAGGCTCGGTGATGGGTGGGTGGTAGGCTCGGTGATGGGTGGGTGGTAGGCTCGGTGATGGGTGGGTGGTAGGCTCGGTGATGGGTGGGTGGTAGGCTCGGTGATGGGTGGGTGGTAGGCTCGGTGATGGGTGGGTGGTAGGCTCGGTGATGGGTGGGTGGTAGGCTCGGTGATGGGTGGGTGGTAGGCTCGGTGATGGGTGGGTGGTTGGCTCGGTGATGGGTGGGTGGTAGGCTCGGTGATGGGTGGGTGGTAGGCTCGGTGATGGGTGGGTGGTAGGCTCGGTGATGGGTGGGTGGTAGGCTCGGTGATGGGTGGGTGGTAGGCTCGGTGATGGGTGGGTGGTAGGCTCGGTGATGGGTGGGTGGTAGGCTCGGTGATGGGTGGGTGGTAGGCTCGGTGATGGGTGGGTGGTAGGCTCGGTGATGGGTGGGTGGTAGGCTCGGTGATGGGTGGGTGGTAGGCTCGGTGATGGGTGGGTGGTAGGCTCGGTGATGGGTGGGTGGTAGGCTCGGTGATGGGTGGTGGGTGGTAGGCTCGGTGATGGGTGGTGGGTGGTAGGCTCGGTGATGGGTGGGTGGTAGGCTCGGTGATGGGTGGGTGGTAGGCTCGGTGATGGGTGGGTGGTAGGCTCGGTGATGGGTGGGTGGTAGGCTCGGTGATGGGTGGGTGGTAGGCTCGGTGATGGGTGGGTGGTAGGCTCGGTGATGGGTGGGTGGTAGGCTCGGTGATGGGTGGGTGGTAGGCTCGGTGATGGGTGGGTGGTAGGCTCGGTGATGGGTGGGTGGTAGGCTCGGTGATGGGTGGGTGGTAGGCTCGGTGATGGTGGTGGGTGGTAGGCTCGGTGATGGGTGGGTGGTAGGCTCGGTGATGGGTGGGTGGTAGGCTCGGTGATGGGTGGGTGGTAGGCTCGGTGATGGGTGGGTGGTAGGCTCGGTGATGGGTGGGTGGTAGGCTCGGTGATGGGTGGGTGGTAGGCTCGGTGATGGGTGGTGGGTGGTAGGCTCGGTGATGGGTGGTGGGTGGTAGGCTCGGTGATGGGTGGGTGGTAGGCTCGGTGATGGGTGGGTGGTAGGCTCGGTGATGGGTGGGTGGTAGGCTCGGTGATGGGTGGGTGGTAGGCTCGGTGATGGGTGGGTGGTAGGCTCGGTGATGGGTGGGTGGTAGGCTCGGTGATGGGTGGGTGGTAGGCTCGGTGATGGGTGGGTGGTAGGCTCGGTGATGGGTGGTGGGGTAGGCCGGTGATGGGTGGGGTGGAGGCTCGGTGATGGGTGGGTGGTAGGCTCTGTGATGGGTGGGTGGTAGGCGCGGTGATGGGTGGGTGGTAGGCCGGTGATGGGTGGGTGGTAGGCTCGGTGATGGGTGGGTGGTAGCTCGGTGATGGGGTGGTGGTAGGCTCGGTGATGGGTGGGTGGTAGGCTCGGTGATGGGTGGGTGGTAGGCTCGGTGATGGGTGGGTGGTAGGCTCGGTGATGGGTGGGGGGTAGCTCGGTGATGGGTGGGTGGTAGGCTCGGTGATGGGTGGGTGGTAGGCTCGGTGATGGGGTGGGTGGTAGGCTCGGTGATGGGTGGGGTGGTAGGCTCGGTGATGGGTGGGTGGTAGGCTCGGTGATGGGTGGGGTGGTAGGCTCGGTGATTTGGTGGGTGGTAGGCTCGGTGATGGGTGGTGGGTGGTAGGCTCGGTGATGGGTGGGGTGGTATGCTCGGTGATGGTGGGGTGGTAGGCTCGGTGATGGATGGTGGGTGGCTAGGCCTTCGGTGGATGGGTGGTGGGTGGTAGGCTCGGTGATGGGTGGGTGGTAGGCTTCGGTGATAGGGTGGGTGGTAGGGCTCGGTGATGGGTGGGTGGTAGGCTACGGTGATGGGGGGGTTGGTAGGCTACGTGATGGTGAGGCGTGGTAGGCTCGGTGATGGGGTGGGTGGTAGGACTCGGTGATGGGTGGGTGGTAGGCTCGGTGATGGGTGGGTGGTAGGCTCGGTGATGGGTGGGGTGGTAGGCTCGGTGATGGGTGGGTGGTAGGCCTCGGTGATGGGTGGGTTGGTAGGCTCGGTGATGGGTGGGTGGTAGGCTCGGTGATGGGTGGGTGGTAGGCTCGGTGATGGGTGGGTGGTAGGCTCGGTGATGGGTGGGTGGTAGGCTCGGTGATGGGTGGGTGGTAGGCTCGGTGATGGGTGGGGTGGTAGGCTCGGTGATGGGTGGGTGGTAGGCTCGGTGATGGGTGGGTGGTAGGCTCGGTGATGGGTGGGTGGTAGGCTCGGTGATGGTGGGTGGTAGGCTCGGTGATGGGTGGTGGTGGTAGGCTCGGTGATGGGTGGGTGGTAGGCTCGGTGATGGGTGGGTGGTAGGCTCGGTGATGGGTGGGTGGTAGGCTCGGTGATGGGTGGGTGGTAGGCTCGGTGATGGGTGGGTGGTAGGCTCGGTGATGGGTGGGTGGTAGGCTCGGTGATGGGTGGTGGGTGGTAGGCTCGGTGATGGGTGGGTGGTAGGCTCGGTGATGGGTGGGTGGTAGGCTCGGTGATGGGTGGGTGGTAGGCTCGGTGATGGGTGGGTGGTAGGCTCGGTGATGGGTGGGTGCTAGGCTCGGTGACGGGTGGGTGGTAGGCTTGGCGAGGGATGTGGTGGTGCGGGCGCTGATGAAGGACCTGGAGAAACGAATCTCCGCGCTGCAACTGCTCGGCGAGTGGTAGGCACGGTGGTGGGTGAGTGATAGGTCTGGTGGATAAGAGGTCTAGTCAGTGATCGACTTGAAGGGGCATGTGCCGCATATCACTCTGCTTGCCATGTGACCATATCTGGCCTCCTTGTCACTGGCCTTTTGACTCTTGCCTCTCTGTGCCGCTGGTCTACTCGCTCCCGCCTCTCCTTGCCTCTCCTCCCCTGCAGAGCATCCCTGGATTCGCCAGCACTGCTGCAAGTGACCCGCGTGCTCTCACAGCTGCGCATGAGCTGGCAAGCCTGTCTTGTTTTGTGCCATGGTGACCTCTCACAGCACATGCATGCCCGCGGTGTTTATTCATTGTTCGGGCCGCTTGTAAGGGCCTTGGGATGGCATGGCAGGCAACTCGGCTCGCTAGGTATTTGGTAGAGGCTGCTCGGGATGAAGATGTCGCATGTTGATGTGCAGTGTAACTTGTTTTGCAAGTAGGTAACTACTAACTAGTACTGTACCGCCAATTATGATACCGGTACTTGATTTGCCAGCATATGCTGTTCTATTGCAAGTTCTACCGTAGTTCCTCTACACCGCACTGAACCTTGCTTAGATTCAAAGTTAGAACCCCCATTCCCCTAGGATCATAATGGAATGTTCCCTTCATTTGGACTGCTTGTACCGTACCTCAAGCATCTTGGCCATGGGGGGGTTTTACCCTTTTTTGTTGAGAAAGTTGTACACCGTCCTTAGCACTTGCCATGTTTTCCATAAATCAAACCATACTCGCACAAGTTCTTCGAGATGATATACCGTATTCTCCCGGACATAACACCCTAGGGTATAGCTAAAAATACAGGGAAAAAATGGGGGGGGTCTCCTCATAGGAAAAAAATACATAATACCCGGGTCTTTACATATGGCATATTTTAGTGTTAGTGTTTTTTTAATTAGTCAATGTGGGTGTTTTGCTGGTCGTTTTAGCATCACTGCCTGAGGCGCGAATGTCAGTTTCGGCCTCGAACTTCATCGCCCTCACGAAAATGCCATGTGACACCTCTCTTGCCACTTGCAACGGAAGATTCACCTGCACGTGGCAACAGAGAAATAGTGGGAGAGGGCAAATCTCGGCAGATTGCCTTTGAATGTACCGCGAAATTTCATTGAGGGAGAAATTCACACGACATTCTTCCGTATTGCAGCTACTCGTTAACGACTATACTAATGAATCCGTAAGAAAAGGGGGGTGTTATAGAAAATCAGGCAAAAAGGGGTGTATAGTGGAAACGAGGTCTATCATAACACCCACCCCGCACAAGCTACCCGGGGGTGTACAATTATGGGGGGGTGTTTTGTCCGGGAGTATACGGTACCGTAGCAGGCCCCTAGATTCGTTTTGAGGTAGTCTGACGCCTCAGAGTACACCCCTCATGGAACTCTGTCTGTCAGAGGTGCCTCAAAATTTTAGTCTGAAAATTCAGTCTGAACTGTCAGAGTTACCCTCAAATTTTAAGATGATGATGCAGTATCGTAAAAGCATATTTATAATAGCATTGAAGTTGATTACAGCATACCAATTCAACTGTGCGGTACAAACCAGTCAGGGTCGGCGGGTTTGCATCAGGCAACGTGCTCGTGCATCGCCTTGGTTGTTTTGTCACGTGCAGCGCATGGGTTGTTTCTGCTGATTAGATTTCGTTTCGTCGTGTGTCTGATTACCGTTCTGTACCCATTTTCTCGCCTGTGTGCCGATTTTGTCAATTTTGGATTTGCGTTTCAAGCGATGTGATCATTCACCCGATCTGGTTGTTGTCACGTACAGTGCCAGGTGGGTCAAGTGCCACGCAGCTGAGCTGGCAGCAGGCAGAAACTGTTGGTTGGCGTGGCGTGTGTGAGCATCTGGCAGTGCCGCACGAAACTTTCATTACGAATCAGGAGCTTCGCAATTTCACAGCAGTGCATGCTGCAGATTTTTTTACAAAGAATCAGCATCAAAATCGCCAATTCTTTAAAATACATTAGCGATAACTTACATGTGACGAGATTTTGTCTACGAAATCTCGTAATCACGCAACCATTTTCTTAGTGTAACTGGGAGATATTCTCGACGAACGAGTGTATTCGGATTTCCCAGCTGTTGAAGCGTGCGTTGCTCACGTCCTGGCACTCCATTGCCATCTCGGAAGTGGGCATATCGAAACGAAACTTCCAAGAAACTTCGTTTCGATAAGCTCGCAGAGTGCACCCCCGACACAAGTCTGAGGCTCAGCCTGCACCCCTAAAAATTGGCTGAAATTTCAGCGGTTACAATAAAAAAAAACTCTGAAAAATCAGAGAAGGTACATAAAAAAAAACTTACAGTTCAGACCAGGTACCAAAAAAAAGTCTGAATGGACGCTGAATCAGCGTAAAAAGTCTGATATCAAGGGCACTGTACCGTAGTAATAATTTTGCTCACACGAAGACAAGACCCTACTACCCTAGCCCCTGGGGCACAGAAGGGCCACAATAAGCAGCACAGAGCAGAACTAACGAGAGCTGTCTGGTCTGGCACACAGAGCCCAAAAGGCTTGGGTTGGGTTGGGTAACCTCCCATCCCAGTCACTTTCTGAGACATCTTATTTACGGCTCACACTCGCTTTGCTGCTACGGTAACATCTAGCAACCAGATCATGGAGCACCAAGTACCGTACACGTGCCATCGAGTTATGTCACCATCACACTACGGTAAATGTGAGCTTTTCGAGAAAAAAACGTGTCATGGTTTCAGTTACCACATGGCTTTAGTCACAGGGGTGCTATGGTCATGTGATGGGGTCATAGGGGTGGGAGAGCCAGGGGTGTTTGAGGGCCTGGGCGGCAGTGGGGCGTTTGTCGGGATCCACCTGCAGCAGCGATGCCACAAACTGCACAAACCCCGCATCGCCCTGCTGCAGGCGGTGCTGCAGGGAGGTCTTCTTTGGCACCAGATACTCCAGCTGTTCCGTCTCCTGTGGCGGAGAGGCGGGGAGGGGGAAGGTGAGGGAAACGGGAATTGAAAGCGGATTTTATGGTAGGGACAATCACGGTCGCTTCGCCGCCCTGCTGCATGTGGTGCTGCAGAGAGGGCCTGGGCGGCGGTGGGCCGTTTTTCCGGATCCACCTGGAGCAGCGACGCCACAAACTGCACAAACCCCGGGTCGCCCTGCTGCAGGCGGCGCTGCAGCGATGTCTTCTTTGGCACCAGATACTCCAGCTGCTCCGTCTCCTGTGGCGGGGAAAGGGGGGAGAGGGGAGAAGAGGGAAATGAAAAGAAGACATGTTATGGTCGGGGCTACCAGAGTCACTTGCCCTGTTGCCGCTGATGCTGCAGGGAGGTCTTCTTGGGGACCAGATACTCCAGCTGCTCCGTCTCCTGTGGTGGAAACGAGAAGGGGAAGGGGGAGGGAAGCGGGAAAGGGGAGAGGAGATGTTATGGTTGGGGACATCAGGGTCTCGCTTTCCCTGCTGCAGACGGTGCTGCGGGGAGATCTTCTTGGGTACCAGATACTGCAGCTGCTCCAGCTCCTGTGGATGGGAAAAGGGGAAAAAGGGGAAGGAGGGAAGGGAAGGGGAGGGAGAGTATGATAGGGGCAACATCTAAACTTGACTGCCTCGACTAAACCAGCTGTTCTGATTAATGTGTGCCAAGATTGGGGAAGGGGTGGAGGTGAAAGGGTCTAGCGGCTTCAGCTGCTTGATTTCCTTGAAAAAGGGGAGGTGTGGGGAGGGGGGTAGAGTGAATGGGGGGTTTGGAGATGGTGAACTGGTGTGAAGTACGATACAGCAGAGCATCACACAGCACCATACAGCACCCCACACCACACCACACCATAACACAGGAACTGACAGGCCCATGATACACCACACTGCACCGCACAGCACCACTGACCGGGTTGCGTTCATAGAGCACGTTGCGTTTGGTGAAGTACTTGTGGCAGTCGCGGGCCTTGCGCAGCACAGCACAGCGGCATACCACATGCGAGCACACACCGCACAGCACCCCACTGCACTGCATTGCACAATGCCACACCACACAGTACCCCCATCACACACTAACCGGGTTGCGTTCGTAGAGCACGTTGCGCTTGGTGAAGTACTTGTGGCGGTCGCGGGCCTTGCGCAGCAGGCGCGGGTCGATGGGGCCGATGATGCCCACCACCCGCGCCAACAGTGTCGCCAGCGAGTCGTTCTGAAACAGCACCTGCTAGCACACACACACATGATCGGACACACACAACGCAGGGGAACAACCACGGCCACACGATTGAAGAACAAGTGGGAAAAAGGAGCGCACCATACGAGCATAGAGCCCGGTACGTTGGGGGAAGAATATGTCCCATACAAGCAGTATGAGCGTGGCTCCCTGTGCTGACGCACCTGCTTCCCCATGTCCCCAACGTCCTCAACCACCCACTTCCTGCTCCTCCCCTCCCACCCTCTCCCCCAACCCCCCCCCCCCCCCATCTTCTCCCCCCTCCTCTTCCCCCTGCTCACCTGTCCGGAGCAGAGTTCAGCGAGGATGCAGCCGAGGGACCAGATGTCGATCTTGGGCCCGTAGGGCAGCCCCAGGATGACCTCGGGCGCGCGGTACGAGCGCGACTGCACGTACGAGCACAGGTGGTCCGTTGTGAAGCAGCTGCTGCCGATGTCGATCACCTTCACCAGGCACCGCGAGTAGCTCTTGATCAGGATGTTCTCGGGCTTTAAGTCGCAGTGGATCAGCCCGAGGGAGTGCATGAAGCGCAGGGCCTGCAGGATCTGCTTGGCTATGGACTAGTGCATGCAAGGGGATGGAGGGAGTGGGGGAGCGGGAGGGGTGTGGATAGGGAGCAATAAAGATGGGATGGGAGTGGGAGTGAAAAGTGAGATTGGAGCACCGCGAGTAGCTCTTGATGGGTATGTTCAGGCTTGAGGTCGCAGTGGGTGAGATGAGTCGCAGTGACGGCATGAAGCGTGGTGCTTCCAGGATTTGCTTGGCTATGGACTGAAAGAGGGGAGCGTTGGGGAGCAAGGCCCATGGGGGAAGTGGACGACGGGATGCAAGGGGCTTCAGGTTGCAAAGCAGTGGATGAGCCCCAGTCCCTGGATACGCCGACGTGGCATGCACCTGAATGCGCTGACGTGGCACGCACCTGGATGCGAGGCATGTTGAAGTAGGCCTCGCCGCCCGACTCGCGGTTGTACTTGTGGAACTCGTACAGGTTGGCACGCAGTAGCTCACATATGATGAACAGGTGCTCCTGATGGGGGTGGGTGGGGAATGGGGGCAGGAGCAGGGAGAAAAGGGGAGGAGAGGAGGACCAAGGGGGGGGGGGTTGAGAAGGGAACTCGAGAGGTTGGCACGCAACAGCTCGCATATTATGAACAGGTGCTCCTGACAGTGAGGTGAGGGGTGGGGTGGGGGTGTAAAAGTGAAAGGGAGAAGGGAGAAGCCAAAGTGAAAGGCCTCAGTTAAGGGTGAATACTGGCGAAACAAGGTTCAGGGTTGTTTGCTAACATACTCACTTAAATTGCTTCCAAAAAATCTAGACAAGTTCCAGCACGCACACTCAATCGGTGGCAGGTGGTGCTCGTCTGCGGGGTCGTACCTTTGGACGCATGCACACACACACTCACCCACACAAACACTCACCCACCCACTCACCCACCACACACACACTCACTCACTCACCCACACTCTCACCCACCCACGCTACCACAAACACACTCGCTCACTGATTCACTCACTCACCCACCCACCCTCACACCCTCACCCGGTGGTAGAGTAGTCGTACAGCCGCAACAAATGAAGCTCCTCCGCGGGGTCATGGCGGTTGATAAACTTCAACAACTTGATCTCGTCCAGGCTCTGATCGGAGAAGTCCTTGTTGTTCTTTATGATCTTCCAACTCACTCACTCACTCTCTCGCCCATCCACTCACTCCCTCCCTCCCCAACTCACCCTATGGTAGAAGTAGTCGTAGAGGCGCAGCAAATGATGCTCGTCTGCCGGGTCGTGCCTATCAATAAACTTCAACAGCTTGATCTCATCTAACTTCTGATCAAAGAAGTCCTTGTTGTTATTTATGATCTTCCAACTCACTTGCTCACTCACACACTCACTCCTCCACCCCCTCGCTCGCTCCCTCCATCCTACCCTCCCTCCCCGACTCACCCGGTGGTAGAAGTAATCGTAGAGCCGCAGCAAATGATGCTCGTCCGCGGGGTCGTGCCGGTTGATGAACTTGAGCAGCTTGATCTCGTCCAGGCTCTGGTCAAAGAAGTCTTTGTTGTTCTTTATGATCTTCATGCACACTCACGCACTCACTCATTCGCTCGCTCACTCACTCTCTCACTCACTCCCTCACTCCCTCACTCTCTCGCTCGCTCCCTCCATGAACCTTCCCTCCCCAACTCACCCGGTGGTAGAAGTAATCATAAAGCCGCAGCAGGTGATGCTCGTCTGCCGGATCATGCCGGTTGATGAACTTGAGCAGCTTGATCTCGTCCAGGCTCTGGTCAAAGAAGTCTTTGTTGTTCTTGATGATCTTCATGCACACGTCCATGCCCGTGTGCAGATCATGAGCTTGGATCGCCTTGCTGAAGGCCGCTGACCCCAGGTACTCTGTCACGTAGTAGCGCCCTGCGATGACCGAGTTGAGCACCACTGGGAAGTCCTTCTCCTCCTCAAACCCCGTTCTGGTGGGGATGTGGGGGACATACAAGGAAGGGGAAGAGCGTTTGGTCTCCATGCGCTTGGTATGCATGGCGTTGAAGGCTGCTGAGCCCATCTGTGTGTTGTGAGGAGAGAGGGGAACCATAGAGGGAGAGATGGAGAGGGGGATGGTAAAAGAGGGGGGGCGGGGAGGGGGGTAGGAGGGGGAGAACGAGAGGGGGAGACGAGGAACTCCTTATCTCCCAAACCTGCACTTCCCAACCACCCGCGACCCAAGCACTCATCTGTGGCCATCCCATGCGCACGCACCTGTTCTTGCGGTGAATGACACGCAGGTTGAAGATCTCAAACTCCTCCTTCTCCTCGCCACCCCCTCCCGCCTTCTCCTCCCCCTCCGCTCCTTTTTTCGTCCCCTCCACCTCGCCCTCCCCCTTCTCTCCCGCTTCCTCCTCGCCCTCATCCCCCTTCTTTCCCGCCCCATCCTTCCCCTCCTCCTCCGCCTTCGCCCCCTTCCCTTTCCCCTTCCCCTTCTTACTCCCCCCACTGCCTTTCACAGCCACATCCCCGTCCGTTTGCATGTCATCACCGCCCCTGCCGCCTGCCTCCGCATCCTCTTCCTCCTTCTTCCCCCCACTCTTCGCCCTCTTCTCCTCCCCACCCGCGCCAGCCCCACCAGCAGTAACTCCCCCAGTGGCAGCAGCAGCAGCGGGGGGATCCCAGTCCATGGCAGTGACTTTAGCGAATGTGCCACTAGCCTGCCGCTTCCACACCTCCAGGGTACTATCCGCCACGCTCCCCATCCGCTCCAGCCCGCTCGCCAGCTCATCCGCCAGCCCCCCGGCTTCCCCCGCGCCCCCTCCCGCTCCCCCTCGCCCCGCTCCGCTCCCCCCTCCGCCCAGAGTGTCCGAAGGGCTGATATTGACCGCGTCCCCCCCAGGCGTCCCGCCGCCTCCCGACCACCCAGAACCTTCCCTGGAAAGGCCTTCACTGGACGGCGACGGGAAGGAGAAGCCGCCTGAGAAGGAGTCACCAAACCCGCCGCTGCCCCCAGCAGCAGCATCAGCAGCGGCACTGGCGGCCCCAGCAGCGCCGCCCTGTCCTGTTCCTGCTGCTGCTGCTGCTGCGGTAGACACAAACAGCCCTGTGCCTGCGCCTGTGCCTGTGCCCCTCGCGCCTGTCACCTCGTCCACAATCCCAAACGACGCACTCCCCACGTCTCCGCCCTTCCAGCTGCGCCGCTTCCGCGGACCCTCCGCGCCCTCCTCCTTCTCCCCCGCCCCCGCGCCCCCCCCGTCCCCCATCTCTATCTCCACCCCATCCGCCCTACCTCCCTCCGTTTTCCCCCCTCCCTCCGCCCTCTCCCTCATCCCCTTCCCCAGCGCGTCTTCTCCTTCCCCCTCCGCCTCCCCCTCCGCCTCCTCGTCACTGAGAACGCCAAGGCGGGGGCGGGAGCCGGTGGGGGTGGGGTGCGCGCAGTCCTCATCCAGGTCTTGCACAGACCCCAGCATAGAGCTCCCCGCATCCGCGCCCACAGATTGCCCCTCGTAAAACTCCCCCTCCTCGCCCTCCTCCCCCTCCTCCCCCTCGTCCTCGTCCCCTTCCCCCTCTTCGCCCTCCTCTAGCTGCCCGCTCAGCTGCCCCTTTCCGCCCTGCCGCTTCTGCCGCGCCCCTGCGCCTGCGCCCCTCCCCTCCGCTCCTCCCCCGTTCCGCGCGCCGTTCGTTCCCTCCGCCCCCCCCTTGTCGAACATCCCATCCCACGCATCCACCACTCCAAAGCTCGGAACCGATCGGTGCCCTTTTCCCCCCGCAGCGCCTTCCGCCTCGCTTCCCCCGCCTCCCTCCGCCCCTTCCTCCCCCCCCTCCGCTTCTTGATACGAGTCCTCCCCTGAAAAATACATCTCCTCATCCCCCCCTTCCGAATCCCGCTTCCCCTCTTTCCCACTCTTCCCCGCTTCCTTCCCCTTGCTCCCCTTCCCTTCCCCGTCCCCCCCCCGCGCTGCCTTGCCCCCCCTTCCCCTCCCCAGCTTTCCCCTCACCTTCCCCCTTTCCGCCCGCCGCGCCCTCCGCCTCCTCCGCGTCCTCGGGATCATCCCCCGGATCCGCCTCTAATAGCATAAACTGCTCCTCGTTCCCCACTGCCCGCCTCACATACCCCAAATCCTCCTCGTCCTCATACATATCCTCGTTATCATCCGCTCCTTTAATCATTAAAAGAGTAGACAGCAAATACCCGCCCACAACATACACTCCCCCTTTTCCCGCCTCCCTTCCCACTTTCGCGGGGGGGCTCCCCCTGCTTAGGCCGCTCATCCCATGCCTCCCCATGCCGAACCTCTTTTCCGAACCTCCGCCCGAGCTTCCGCTACCGGGCGAGCGCTGCAGGCTCGGCAACGGCGGCTGCTGCTGGTTAGACGGCAGGGACGCGTGGCTGATTGGCGGGCGGGGCTTGCGCGTTCCCAGCGGCACGGGGTTCAGGCTCGGAACCACCTCCGAACCTACAACGACAGGTCCGAACGTGATGGTAGGCACGGAGGAAGCCCGAACGAGAGGCTTGGCAGCTTCAGCAGGGTTAGTAGCGTGCGAGGTCCCTCCGAACGAGTTAGGGCTCTTTAAAGCGCCAGTCGCGCCGAACGACCCGCTGCCCCCTGCTGACAACAACCCCCACCCTGCCAGCACCGACGCAGCGTCTCCCGCCCCTCCCGACCCTGCGCCTCCTGCCCCTGCGCCTCCCCCCATTCCGCCCGCTCCCCCCATTGATGGTGATGCGCCGTGCCCCGTGCTCCCATGGCGGGGCCCTAACGTGTCCTTTCCTTCCGCCCCATCGCCAACAGAAAACACTTCCCCACTGCCCGTCATATCTACTGACCCGCGCGGTGTGCTGTTATTGCTCGAGTTAGCAAACGCCTGGTCAAACAGCCCGGGGGAGGCGTCTCCGCCTGCGCTTGCATTCTCCCCTCCGCCCCCCCCGCCTCCCCCGACCCCGCCAAGCCCGCAGGAAAAGTCAAGCTCTTCCCCGAATCCTCCCCCTTCCTTGTCCCCCGCGAAGGTCCCGCCAGCGCTGCTGCTCTTCGCTATTCCGCTGGGCGGAGTCTCTTCTCCGCTGCTGCTGTTGACGTCATACGGCCGGGAGCTATTGCTGCGCGGCGTCGACCCGATCCTAGGCGGCATTTCCGCGTCCAAGACACCTAATGCGCCTTTCCCGCCGCCTGTTGCGGCGGCCGCTGCGGCGGCCGCGGCGGCCGCAGCTGCTTCTAGGGAACCTCGAAATGGGTCCGTCGTAGTCACCTCGCCGAAGAGAACAGGCTCTTCGATGGGCAGCGGGACGGGCGGCTGCTTCGCCGGCGTACCGAAGAACACAGCATCTCCATCGTCGAGTAAAGGAATAACCGCAGTCGCAGAAGCCGCTGCACTGCTCGCATTATCCTCGTTATTACCCTCTCCGTTATTCTTACCATCTCTCGTTCCTCCACCCGCCTTCTCCGCCTCCGCCGCCTCCGCTTTCGCCGGCGCAGAGTCCGCGTCCTCGGCGCCCAGAAAGACGTCCTCCTCGGGGACGACGTCGAGCGACGCGGGGGAAGGCAGCGAGGGGGACGTGGGGAAGAACGACGGGGAGAACGGGTGCTCGCTTCCCCCCGCGCGCGGCGGCTTAGAGGCCTCCGCCGCTGGCGCGGGGTCGAACATACCTCCGGCGGGGGGAGAACTGGGCGGAGACCATTTCAGCATGGCGTTTTGAAGGAACTGCGGCGGCGCGCTGTTGCCTCGCGCGATCGGGTGGAACCCCGAGAACCCGCCGCCAGTCCCGCTACCGCCCGCATCTCCGCCGGTGCCATCCGCCGGGCCCGAGAGACCCGAACCGGAGAATGCCGCGCCGAATATCCCTCCGCCTGCCGAGCCTGAGCCCGAACCTGATCCCGAACCTGGTGTCGAGGCTGAGTTGGAGAACATCTGTTCGTGCTTCATCCAGAGGAACATGTTGACGTCATTATCAGAGGCATCGGGAGGCGGGAGGGAGGGGGAGCCTGGGTAGGGAGAGAACGGAGAGAGCGGTGGAAGCGAGTGGCTCGAGGCAAGAGTGTTGGGTCTTGGCTGCTTCTTGTTGGAAATTTCGGAGCGTAGGGCTGCTGCCGCTGAGAGAAACTTATTCCGTTCTAAGTACTCGACAATAGCTCCTAGCGTGTCTCCCATTGTCGTTGACAGTGAGCTGCGTTGAGAAATTAAGTCGAGAACGTGCGATATGGGCTGGTTAAAGGCTAATATAAATGTGATGTATTTTTTACCACAACGATACTCCTCGAATCGATGAGAGCGAAAGCTAGCGCCAGAAGAGCCCAGGAAGTTTCCAAAGCTTAATTTTTAACCTTTGATACGACGAAGACATGGCGACGAGCTGCACGAGAGTCTCAGTACGAGGCGACCGTGTTAAAAGGAGCTGGCTTGCCGTCCGTCAGCGTGTGCGGTCCGTATTACAACAGGTCAAGGACGTCGCAAACACGGAACGCCTTGTCAGGGCATTCCTCTCATGCAGCTGGCAGTCAAAACACAACTACTAATCACTACGCAAATAAGTTTTACTCGTGCCGAGCTTTCGCTTGGTGGAGTACCGTGGCAGGTAGTCCCAACGAGTCCCAAAAGGAACACATGTCTCAGCTTCCCCTCCCAAGCCTCTTTCACTGCTTCTCCACTCTCCCTTTCCCCAACCACCCACCCATACCTCCACGCGTTGGGCTGGTGGCGGAAGGACGAAATCGAGGTTGCGGAAGAACGACCCCCCTCGACCCTCGAGGTTGGTTGGCGCCAAAAAGCACCTCCATTTCCGCCAGCTCGGCGCGCAAGACTGCCCTACGCCTGCGCCCCTCGCTTCCGGTGCGCGCAGTAAATGTGCACCACTAGCTTCTGCCAAGGTCCTCCTCCTGACCGGGCCGGAGTCCTGACCTGACCTGACCTGACCCATCCGTTTGCGCACGGCGAATATGCCGTGGAAGTTTGTCGCAAGCGAGCGACCTATCACGAACGGTATTTCAAGCCGCTCAATCTGCCGCACGCACGAATGTGCGACGCTGGTTGAGGTGGGTTCAATATTGGGTATGTTATGGGTTGTATGAAAGAAGAGTGCGCAGAATTCAATATCGCGGAAGTGATTACAACTACTGAGAGCACAACGAGGCCTAGGACTAATATAGCGAGGCTAGCTGGGCCGAGGTTGTAGGGTCGCAGGATGGCTGGGTGCAGGTCCGGGGTTGTGAAACCCAAAAGCGACGCGATAGTGGTTCGGAAGGCGAGGTCGTCGGACCGAGCCTGGTTTTCCGAAAAGTCAGGTTTGTACGCGTACAGTGTGACCCAGTAAGGAATCCGAAAAATTCCTTACACTACCCCCCCCCCTTAAGAAAGGTGGTGAATGTCGGAGACACCACGGCGGGTCAGGTAAGCATCCACAATCGGATGTCCCAGGAGCGAGTCAGCAGGGACATACCGTCATCACCCGGATATACCCCCAGTTGGGGGTGTAAAAAAACCTGGAAAAATGGTGGGTGGGCTTATAATGTGGTAAATTTTATAACCCCATGGGCTAAATAAATGACACTTATGGAGTTTTGATTTTATAACACTGGAATGTAGATTTCACCCTGGCGATTTAAATCGATGCTTACACAAAGAGGATCGATGCTGAAAAGTTCCGAGAATGTGTCGTACAGTCAAGAATCCGAGTCAGCACCTGCTCAAATGTTGCAGATTTCGCGCACGTGCACCTCCTGTGGCAATTTTGCCAAGCGAGCCAGGGGGGATTTCGTCAGGCACGTCTGTGACGATTCGTTTAGGCGCGTTAGTGGTGATTTCGCTACAAAAACAAACCAGAATTCATTGGGTGCGCTTATACGAAGATTGACACAACTTGGGGTGGGCTTATAATCGGCAACCGGCTATAAGCCCACTAGTACGATTATAACCGCATGGGTGTAACATAGGCCTGGGGGTATATCCGGGTGATGACGGTACGTCTCATTCTCGCTCGTGCGGTCCTTCCAACGAAGCAGGAATTTCACGGAGCGGCCGGCGGTGGTCACGTCCACGCGGTGGTTCAGAATTTTCCAGGGTTCCAGCGTGGGCTCCGCCACAGGGCGTGTTGTCGGCGCGAGCGTTGGCCGAGCGACAGTTGGCGACTGCGGGGGCTCGTAATGACGCAGAAGGCTGACGTCAGGGCCCAAAATTGGTTTAGGCCTACCCTTACGAATCAGGGTAATAGCCCCTCCTTATTCAGACCCCTAGGGTAAAACATTTCATACCCTGTTTTCAGCAGGGTAAATGTACCACTAGCCTGATTTGAGCAGGGTAGTTTTAGGCTAAGCCTGTTTTTGTATCTATTTTGTGAGTTAACTTATTTTTAATGATATACACAAGTAGCACATTCAGAGTCCATGAAGTCAACACACGCAACTGGCCGTTTCTTCCACGGGGCGGGCCCTGTTATGGCCAGCAAGGCAGCACTGAGGCTGCAAGTTGTTGTTAAGGACAGCTTGAAGCTGTCCTTGAGAGCCAATTCTGCTGTGATGGCGGTGGGCGTGGCGATAAGTGACGAGGAGCAATAATTGTTGGCAGTCCTGCGGCAGAAACAACCAATGAGGATTCTTGGCGTGCTGCCAACTACGATGCAAGTTTCCATGCGCGTGGGCACGAGCGACAACGGGTGTTTGTGGAGGTGTTGTACGTTTTGTCGCCACCACGCGGACTATGGTCTGATTCGCGTTAGAAAAGATTCGGTAACAGGGTAGTGTACACCAAACCCTGATTCCGCCAGGGTAAGCTAAAAACCTAGCAGGGTAAAATAAAACATGCTCTTTTAAGAGAAGGGTAACTATTTCGCAATCCTGATTTCAGCAGGGTAATCCTGAAAAAGCGGCCGGCCCCCAGGGTAATCAGGGTGTTTTACCCTGATATTTAGGGCCCTGGCTGACGTGGAAGGCGTCATGGATTTTCCAGTCGTCGGGCAACAGCAGCTTGGCGGTGACAGGTGTCACCATCTGGACGATACGAAACGGTCCTACGAACCGGGGTCGTAATTGTGAAAAGAGTAAGCAGGAATGAATGAACTATGAATGAAAGCAGTACAAATATGAAACCCTAACTGGGTTGTACCCCCTATGGGATACCCCACTACAGCCTACACAGCAGCATAAGCTATAGATATGTTCTGACACACCCCCATAGGCAAGGTGGGGGAGAACAAGGGGTCACAAGACCAGTCAAGCAAGACAAAGCAAAGCTCAGGGTGGATCACAAAGTCACCACACAGTCCGAGCACAAGAGCAAGGCCAAAAGGCCAGTTCACAAGCAAGAGTACAGACATATATATAAAGCTAGACAAGCAAGAGCAGGTATATATATATGTCACAGTACAAGTGAAGTCAAGAGGAGAGCAAGTGAGGCAAGACAGGCACAAGACCCAGCTGGGTGCAGAAGCGCTGATGGTCACAAGGCGCAAGTGCCTTGGTGAACACATCAGCAGTGTTGGCCTCAGAGGCCACGTACGCAAGTCGCAACTGACCACGCTGCTGCAGCTCACGAGCAAGGAAGTAGCGGAGAGCAATGTGCTTCGTTCTGTGCTCCAAGCGCTGCTCTCGACACAAGGCCAGCATAGCCTTGTTGTCTACGTACAGCACTGGAGGAGAACGAGGCGGCTCTCCAAGGTCAGTCAGCAGGTAGGTGAGCCAGCGAAGCTCCTGTGCAGCCATGGCCCCGGCGTAGATCTCAGCCTCACAACTGGAGCCGAGAACCGAAGACGAGCGAGTAGACCGCCACGAGACAGAGCCGGAACCAAGGCTGAAGGTGTAACCCTGTGACGACCGCTGCGTAGCCTGGTCGTCAGCCCAAGAAGCGTCCGCGTGGCCGGTAAGGACCACTGGACTCCGCCCTCCAAGCACTAGCCCCATGCCTGACGTACTGCACAGGTAGCGCAATACCCTCTTCGCTGCAGCCATGTGCTCCGGTCTGTGTCTCCCAGGAGCAACATAGCGTGCAAGAATGCTCAGAGGGTATGCAAGGTCAGGTCGTGTGCAGGTCATCAGGTACATGAGGCAGCCAACAAGCTCCGCATACGGACCACTCGACTCTACGGACTCATCCGAAGGCAGAGCTGAGAGTGAGTGGCGAGTAGGCAGAGGAGTGGCCTGAGGCGAGGAGTACGTGAAGCCGAAGCGCTGAAGGACCTGCTGCACCATGTGTGACTGAGTCAAGGTAATGGTGCGGCGTGCTCTGTCCCGAGTGATCTGCAAGCCAAGGTAGCTGCGCAGTTCACCCAGGTCTGTGCACGTGTGTCTCTTCAACAGCTCGGACTTCACGTAGGCGAGTCCAGCAGTGTCCGCTGTGGCAAAGACCAGGTCGTCGACGTACACGAGGATGTAGAACGGCGGCAGGGAAGTGTCGGTGCGAAGAAACAGCGACGGGTCAGCAGTAGAAGGAGCAAACCCAAGAGCCGCAAGCGTAGTCCTCAGTGTGTCGTGCCACTCACGCGGTGCCTGGCGGAGACCGTAGACTGGCCGTCGGAGGCTCCACTGGGTGCCAGGAGGGAAAGTCCCAGTGAAGCCAGGTGGACGGCGAAGCCAGATCTCCTCGTGCAGGCTACCCTGCAAGAACGCAGTGCTGAAGTCGAGAGAGTGAAGCTCGTAGTCGCGCTGAGCGGCTATGTGCAGCAGCACCCGAAGAGTAGTCATCTTCGGGGTGGGAGAGAAGGTCTGAAAGTAGTCAACTCCCTGCCGCTGACTGAAGCCACGAGCAACGTACCGTGCCTTGAAGACAGGTGGAGAGCCCGGCGGCCGCTTCACCCTGAAGATCCACATGCCACTGACGATGTTCGCCCCAGGAGGGGGAACCGCGTCAACGTAGGTGCCTGTGGACTTCCAGGAAGCCATCTCTGCATCCATAGCTGCCTGCCACTGAGAGGAGTAGGGACCCTCTACGGCCTCCGCGTAAGAACGCGGAGTCGGGATGTCTAGTGCATCCGGGTCTCCCTCAGGGGCAAGCAGTACAGACGCGAGATGAGGTGAAGCAGCCGCTAGACACTGTAACTCCTCCTGCCTGTCCTCTAGGACGTCCGTGCCAAGAGCACACTCACCCCCGACGGACGGAGGACAGACAGACGCAGACTCAGCAACAAGACTAGCAGCGTAGTCGAGACGACAGCGAGCAGCAAA